CCTTTGGGAAGCTTTTGCGTGATTGCTTTCCAAGTTTACACGCTTCACATGCTTCCTTCTTTACTTTAAACTTTGGTAACCCCTTTACCAAGTCTTTGTCTTGCATTTGTTGCAACCTTTTGTCGCCTACATGACCAAGTCTCTTGTGCCATGTCTCCATCTTTCCTTGCTCACTAGCGCTCATGTCTTCTTCTACCTGAGCCGAACTCATCCTGATTCGATAGCTTTTGTGAGTCATTGGGATATCCATTATCCTCCTTCCTTTTGCATCATTTATGATGCATCTCTTCTCTTGGAAACTCACCCGGTATCCGCTTGAAACAATTTGTGGAACACTCAACAAATTTTTCGCCAAACCCGGAACCAAGAACACATTTCTGATGGTCCTTTTGCCACCTTTAGTCATGACGGTAATGTCTCCTTTACCGGCTGTCATGACCGTGATTCCATTTCCAATCTTTATTGGAACCTTGATACTCTTATCAATCCTTGAGAAGTAATTCTCCTCCTTTGTCATATGGTTAGTTGCTCCACTGTCTACTAACCAGACGTCCTCCATCACTGTTGTTGCTGCTTCGCTCGCACTGAACAACATGTGATCTTCATTCGAGTCTTCTTCGAAACTCACATGTGCTTTCTCTTTNCTTATCAATCCTTGAGAAGTAATTCTCCTCCTTTGTCATATGGTTAGTTGCTCCACTGTCTACTAACCAGACGTCCTCCATCACTGTTGTTGCTGCTTCGCTCGCACTGAACAACATGTGATCTTCATTCGAGTCTTCTTCGAAACTCACATGTGCTTTCTCTTTCTTCTTTGAGTAGCACTGATTTGCAAAATGGCCCTTCTTGCCACAATTGTAACATTCCTTGTTACTTCTGTGATCCTTCTTTGGATCATCCTTCTTCAGTTTCTTCAGACACTCGCTCTCGGTATGGTTGTTCTTCTTGCAGTAACTACATCACTTTTTTCCTCCTTGGCGCTTCGAGTTGTCTGATGTAACATCAGAATTTCCGTGTTTAACACGAGCATCGAATGCTCCTTCACTGGTGCGTTCTTCTCTGGCAGCCAGCCTTGCCTCATGAGCCTTCAAAATCCCGATCAAATCTGCCATCTTTGTTGTTGTCAAATTGCTTGTTTACTCCAACACACTGACAATGCTGTCGAACTTGGCTGGGAGAGAGATGAGTATCTTTTGTATGAGTTGGATGTCTGTCTTCTGTTCTCCATGATAAGTTAGTTTTGTTGCCAAGGTAACTAACTTATCTGTGAAAACCTTGATGTCTTCACTCTCATACATTTTCAAGTTTTCAAACTCCCTTCGCAACGTTTGAAGTCGAATCAAACGGACTTGAGTAGAACCTTCATACTCTGCTTTCAATGCATCTCATGCCTCTTTAGATGTTGTTGCTGTTGCAATCCGTGAGAAGATATCATCTGATACAGCAGTTTGCAAAATTTGCAAAGCCATCGTATCGTTCACCATCGTTTCTTCTCTAAGCGATCTTATCCTTGATGTTTCAGGGATTTCATCCACTTGTGCTGGTGGGGCTCCTACACCTTCTTCAACCACAGACCATAACTTCCTGGTCTTGAGAATGGTTGTCATCTTAATGCTCCAGAAGTTGTACTTCTCTCCATCAAATATGGGGATTACTTGATTCTTCATCATTTGGTGTGCTTCCGATGTAACGTATGACAGAATCTTCTAGCCTCCTCTTCTCCACGCCAAGTGTTTCTCTTACTAGTGCTTTCTGCTTCGTCCTCTCAATCGACGAGCTCTGATACCATGTTAATATATTACCAACCGCTTTTGTTACAACGAGTTTAAGAGAAAGAATAAAATGGATGTTACAGGCTTATTTCAGATGGTTACGAAAATGATGTAACTTCTCTGAAATGATTTTTATTATTATTGAGATTCTTGTGTTGATGTTACATCGAATGATTGATCTTTATATAGAGATCGAATCATTAGGCTAAGAGACACACCTCTTCGCATCCAGAGTTACATCTCTTCGATGTTACATCTCTTCGATGTTACATCTCTTCGATGTTACATCTCTTTGTGTAATAAATAACTAACTTATGTAAATGTATCAAGGAGAGATTAGATTATATAGTTTAACAGTACTTTGTAATCACATTGATTATAGTGGATGGTTGAGAGATGATTCTCTCTCGGGTGAATAGTGGCTTCTCCACGTTGGAGTGAACACCTGATAAACAAAGTCTCGTGTGTTCTTTATTTCTTTTTGATTCCATGATTGATTAGATTCGTTTTAGCCTTGAGATGATTATTGAGTTAAGTCAAGATCCAAGGATAAATCCTCAACAGTATTTTAAGAAACGTAAGTATAACGAAAACAAAAAAATATGGATGTAGATGATGTAGCAAAGTTTCAACTTTGAAAATAAAATTATTTCATGATTGGTTTGGGTTAATGCTTTAAAAATAAATAAAACTGAAGTCTTAAAACATCTTTAATTCACCTTTATATTTGCATCTATAATAGTATTTGGAGATGAAAGTACTACATCTCATCTCTATTTTTTCTTCTAAAATAGAGATTATTATTTTTCTCTATTTATAGAAGAAGAAATAATATTCTTCTATTTTTTACTCTAATATTTAGATATTACTATTATAGAAAAATATATTAGAATAAAACGCATTTCTATTTTAGTATTCTTCTAAGTTCTAATCTAATCTATATTAATTTAGAGTCCTATTTGAAGTTTACCTTGGCATATTTTAAATTTGGACCTATTGAATATGTTGTAACTAAATAAAAAAAATACATTTCATATACAATTTTGTATGAATATATTTAAATTAAATCAAACTTCGGTTATCATATACAAAAAGAACATATTCATATCATTTGCTTTTAGACACACATTTCATCTCCAAATTGAAACCTTTTCTGGGTTTCTCGGATGGGTATTGATTTTTTCTGGAACCAATTCATAGACTATGTACCTCTCTTCAGTTACTCTGCCACCTTAATTTTTAGATCCACTTTTAGGTTTTGATGAATCTACGTGGTTAAAAGAGAGAGTGATATGAAGGCTAAACATTTGTATAAATACACAACACAATACACACAATTAAACAAGGTTGATGCATCATGGATCGATAATGTAGTGTTAGTGGCTTAGGGTGGAGTCTCAAGGATCAAATGGGTTTTGAATGGTTCGGATTACGGGCGTGTAAAAAGAGCCTATCAGCTCTGCATGCCGAGATGGAAGGCCTACTGTGGGCAGTCTCATGTATGAGAGATTTGAGGATGAATTCGATACGGATTGAGACGGACTGTTTGGATCTAGTGGACATGTCTTCTAGACCGGAGGACTAGCCAGCTTTTGCGACAGAGATCGAGGTGTTTCAGCGACTACAGGAGGACTTCGAGGATGTGAGTCTGTCTCATATTCCGCGGAGTAGAAATGGACGAGCGGATGCACTAGCTAAAGAAGCAAGGAGTAGAGGTTATTCATTTTCCCATATAGAACAGACTCGGCCAAGCGGAGTTTCTCCTCGGAGAATCGACTCGATTGGTCACCACTTGATCTAGAGTAAATGGGCGGCTGAAAAAAAAAAAAAAAAAACAATATAACTAATAATTTTTAGTATAAACAACCAAATAAAATAGGTTTTCAATAAAACATATATATTACAGCACAATCTCGAATAACCAAACATTTTATTTAGAAGATTAGATGAATCAATATATTTTTATTTTGTTGATTTGATGATGAAACAAAATAAATTAAACATAATCTGCATTTCAATGGGAGTCATATCCTAAAGTAATAGTTAAGAATAATTTTATTTTAATAATATAGCTACTTAACAATTAAAAGTGATTATGTTTTAATAATATAAATATACTATACAACCTACAATTTTATATGGTAACTGTTATAATTAAACCTATAATTATAATATAGTTATCTGAACCAAATCAAAAACAAAAATAACAACTTAAACTCGAATTCATAAATAACCGCATTATTACATTATTTATTGAACCGAAAACCAAAATTTACAATTGTACCAGAGCAAAACTGAAAACCAAATTATACAAACTGGACGAGAAAATAATAAAATTTCATCATATTTTAATTTTAAAACATAAATATAAATAACAATCCCGTGCAACTGCGCGGGTCACAATCTAGTATACAGTTAAAAATAGCAAAAAGAATTCCAATGGTTTATATTAATCCCAACCAATCATCTATTGTATATTGATTACGTTTCATTTTTTTTTAGTAATAGTAGATTTCAAAATGCGCATAATATATGATACGGAACCATTGTTCTAAAACATAAAAACATAAAATTTCGAATAGATGCATTGATTCGAGTATATCATTTTGTGGGTTTTATCAAAATATGTTAACATATTAAAATTAAAATAATATCATTCAGTCACCAATCCTTAATTGATTCTCTTTTTGTTCAAACTAAAGATGGATAACCAGTATCAGGATTTGGTCAATTTGGATGTGCAAAATAAATGCCACAAAAACATCGTGTTACAATCCAATTTTCCCCAGTTAATGTCAACCACAAAATTAAAAAAAAAAACATTTTCGACCGACCATGTTGATTAGGTGGCCTGAATTCCACTAAATGACTCAACACATTTGTTGTATGATTGCATGGTACAGGCCCCGGCCACGTAATTTGGGGTTAAAGTTCCTTTTAGCAGCATTTGTTTAACCTGAAAAGAAGAATGGATGGTTCTACCGAACTCAAAATATTTCGAATATTTAGAGCAACAGAGAGATCGTGGGTCGATAATTTACTACTTTTCCAGATAAGTAAAAGTAGGCAGTAGCTGTCGGTGTGTTGCTATTTTTCTTTCTACATCGACATGTGGAAAGCTTGTACTAGATTAAAAAACAGTCCATTTTGAGTTATGGAGTGAATATATACATATATGGTGTAAAGTCTGAACAATAATTTAATCTGACACGATTTATTCATATAAGCAAAATTTTAGATTCATTAAATGTGGTCATCTACATGCATATAATAAACAATAGGATAAAAGTCAAGAAATAGCAGAATTAAACACAATTTATTGAAAAGGACAAAATCAATACTTAGGATGCTCTGAAGTCTGTTCACAACCCAAAAGAGTTATTTTTACAGATACGAATATTTTAACCATACAAAGTCTGCAAATAATAGTTATATTCACATGGATCACTAAATATAATAAACCTTAAATTTGTAAAAGCTTCAATGATAAGGATTGAAGCAAAAGCAAACTCTGTCTTCATGTTCTGCACTGGTTCCTCACTTAAACAGTACCATAGAGATCTTTGACAAATCTGATTCACGACTCACGTTCTTCATTCGAGTTGGTGCATTAGGAGGTTCATCTTGATCACTCAAACCATTCGAATTTGAATCTTGGTCAAGGATAACTAATGGGTCTCGAAAAGACAGAGTCTTCTTAGGTGTGGTATAATCAAAATGAGACTTCTTTGCTTCCAAAACCTAAATTCATAAAAAAAAAAGAAATATCACGATCAATTATTGTTTAATGAAAAAGATTATAATTTTATGATTTGGGAAACTTACAGCATTTCTGATTGTTTTAGATACACGTTTCAGTCTCTCTAGGTCTCCGTGATCCACATGACAAAGTACTCGAATCTGCAAAATTGATTTTTACCATAAATCAAAATTAAATCAAAACTATTCATAATTTACAGAGAAATTGAGATATTTTTTTATAAAAAAAAAACTAAACTTACCAAAATATCTTGATGCAGAGATTCAAGAACAGAGTTACTGGATTTTGTTGTTTCACTTTTAGATCTCTTCCGTAGATTTTGATCGGAATTTGAAACGTTCTCTTGATTTGATTTGGATATCAGAATCCTTTTCCTCCCTAATCCTCTTGTGATCCTCGCGAGCCCTAACCCTAACGCTTCTTCTTTGCCATGAAACTTGCTGAAACCTCCATTTGAGAACGCCATAACTCTCTCAGATAAAGTGAGCCAGAAGCAAATTTAAAGATAGATGAAACAGAGGAAATATAAGTTTTAAAAAAGTCAAAAGATTTTGTGAATCTTCTGAGAGAATCGGAGATTGAAGATATGTAATTTTAAATTAGAAGAGAAAATGGAAGGAAAAAAAAAACTAAGGGAGAAGAAGAGCTCATTTGATGAGTTTTATAATCTTGAGTTTCAGCTTAAACTAATAAATAAAAAAAATAAAGTATGACACATGGCGTTTTATGATTGGGTTTTGTTGATAAGTGGTGATCGGTCTTTTTCGGCTGGCGAATCTTGTTTTTTTCTACACCGCCATTGTGTTAGTTCAGTGATCACCTGAGGTACGGTTCACGGATAATTCGGTATACCTTTTCGATTGTCGTGTGACATGTGAATTTAACGGTGTGTTTGCCCAAAAAAAAAAAAAAAACGGTGTGTTTTGAAACTTAGTTGACTTGGGTCACTGGATTCTTCTCAAGTGGAGGCTGACGGCGATCATCTCATTCTCCACGTGGGAATAAGTATTTTGTAAGGTTTCTTGTATCCATGCTTTGTGGCTAAGGTTTTGTATAAAGGTAAACTGTCATAAAAAGTTAGAGATTAGATTAATTAAAGTCATTAAGCACAGAAAAGGTGATTAACAGTAAATTTTTACCATGTTTACTTGTGATTTGGTTGATGTTGCCAATGAATTATGCTCTCACTTGTTTACTCTCTTTCCATAAATAGTGAGTTGTGGTATTTTGATATAGAACTAAATTCCAAAATTTAATAATTAAAAGCTAAGAAATGTTTAGATCTTGTATGTTTTTTTCTGCTGTTTAATATTTACTCATTTCCTTGATTAGTTGTAAAAATCCAGCCAAAATAAAATTAAAGTATTAATGTGTTCATCATAATATGTGTCATCTGTTTAGTAATAAGTGTTATGTAGATTTTTAATTGTAAATAATAATCTATTATATAAAGTAAAGCATCCCTCCTTCTAAGGGATGCCACGTAGGATGACAGCTCAAAAAGTCCACGTCACCAGAAAGTCCACATCACCATCTGTGTTTCATTAAACGATGTTTTGTCGTGTTGTTTTGGCCTTATCACGCTTTCGACGCGCCTCGATCTAACCCTAATCTCTTGATCGTGGACTACGGTCGTCTCTCCCTTTCATGCGCCGTCAACGGGTGATGCTTGATTTGCTTCTCCATGTATGAAACGGCGGAGTTATTGTTCGTCTTAACTTCTTTTTATTCAATCGCCCACTACGACGACTTCAATTCAGCGTTCATCTCTCAGGGATGGTATCGGATCTGTATAGATATGTGGTACTTCTCATATCGAGCTCATCCTCTATTTCTATCTCTAGCAATAGACTGAATCGTGTTGTTATGGCTAATTCAAAGTTTTCTTCTCTGACTTGAAGCAACCGCCTATGCTACTGGCCGATGTGACTGTAAGTTTGTTTCTGTGTTTCGTTTTGGGTCATGTTATTTTTGTTTCTGGGCCTAAATCGTTTAAGGCTCCAATGACTTATTCGCTCCTCTGCAGATTGAGACAACAAGGAGACGAAGAAGAGGAACAAACAGAACACGAAATGAGGCTATGAGGACGGTTTGATTAGGTTTTTGAGTGAGTCCAGAGACGTCAATGGCAGCGGCGGCTGCGTCCCAGTTACTGATATTTGGTGCGGTCCAGGACTAGGTTTCTCGACGGATGCGGTGTCAATGGATCATCCGAGGAGAAATCTTTCACCGTCGCGTTGCAAAATCAACGTGGACAAGAACTGTTCGAACCAAACAGAGGTAAAGGTGGTAGCTTTATGTTCTGTATACCTAATTGCAAGTTAAAGTTTCAGTCTTTTTTATGGTGTGTTTAGTTTTATTACATTGATTTGTCTCAGTGAATAGTATCGGTTTAGGCAGAAACTGTTTGGAGTGGTTGGAGCTATAGTCGTTGTAGCATCCTTATGTTGTTCTTGGGGACCAACAAACGTCATGTCGATCTGGTTCGCTCAAACGTCGTTCTAGCGACTTAACATCTACTTTAATGTTTCGCCAAATTGATATGTTTCAAATTATATTTAGGCTTCATTTTAATGGTTGTTTCTTGCTGTAGATATTATGGAGGTTGGGCTGCCACCAACATCCACTTTCTAGGTTATGCAGGTGTTGTGAAGTTTGGTAATCTGCGTATTAGAGGCCTTTCTGGAATTTACAAGGGGAGAGATTGCCATTTAGGTTTGTTTTTTTTAGTCTCTCATATCAAGAAATATACTCCAGCTTTTGATTTATGAGTTGTTTTTGTGAGTAGGCCACCATATAACAATAGCACCAGCTAATCGGTCTATCATGTTTGACAATATGATGTGCAGAAGCTGATGCAATTTGAAGAGCCTCTTGATAATTTCCTCTCGCACGACTGGCCTGTTGGAATCAGTGATTATGGACACTCAAGAACACCTATTCACCAAAAACCATACTTCCAAGAAGAGGTAAAAGCAATAATATTAATCATTTTGGTATTGAAATTTGAACCAAATCTATTACAGATCAAGGCACGAACTCTTGGAAGTAAACCAGCAGCTCAACTGCTAGAGACACTGAAGCCTCGATATTGGTTTTCAGCTCACTTACACTACAAATTCGCTGCTGCTGTTCAACACATGAACGATGATTTATCAGGGACTAAATTCTTGCCTTGGATAAATGCGGTCCAGGGAAAAAAAATTTACAGGTTCTTTGTCTTCTAATTCTTTCCACCTTATGCTTTGTTTTTTTCAAGCAAATGATATCTAATAAGTTCTTTGGATGTGAATTCGATCATTGAAGTAGAATCAGAGGGTGTACCTTTTGAAGTTTTATACGATGAAGAGTGGTTAGCAATAACACAAAAGTTCAATTCTATTTTCTCGCTAACACAGACACCAGCGAGTTTCAGGTATACTATAGAAAGCTACCTACTAAGATATGTTTATATTTATGTCATTCATTTTCTTGAAAATAGCTCTGTGACAATGAATATACAAGAGAGCCACGAGTGGGTGAGGAAGAAGCTAGAGGAAAGGCGATTTAAACCTTTTGAGTTTGTATAGACGGTCCCTGCTTATAACTCTAATATGAGTCGATGTTGCTAACGTAACGTGATTCGTGTTTTCTCACTGGTGCTGATTATATTTACTCTAAACAGTGGCTTGAATCGATTCGGTGACGATGATTATCACCATGAGACAAGCTTCTTCTCAGAGTTAGGGGACCTACGCTTGCTCTGATTCATGTCTCCTCCTCTGATCCTTTGCCTTACCTCAGTATCAAAAATACACCAATTCTTAGTCTCCCTCTCTCACTCTCTATTAAGATCTCGCCTTTTTTTTTATTTTGGTTGGTGGAAGGTAACGGTGTTATAACGTTCTTGCAGGAGACATCATCTGCGCAGTTTATACGTCAACGTTACACAGCTGCTTCCAGTAGACAGAAGCTTCAAAACTCTATAATAAACGTTTAAGGGGAAGCTCAAGATTATAACTTCTGAGCTTCATACCGTGACAAGAAGTGTAACCGGACGAACCCATCCAAGGCTGAGAGTGGAGGTTTCGTTCTCTAGCAGATAAATCTATACATATATATCAACAGTTTTGTAATGTTCTCTTCTTCTATTTGGATCATTAGATTTGATGTTTCTGCTTATGCTTATTGAGAGCTGTTTTTGGTTTCCTTAAAGTTATGTTTAATATCATGTTACATAAGTTGCAAGTTATCATCAATGTTGAAAAAACTATTACTCTTAAATTGACATTGAATCAATTTTTTTTTTTAAAATCACTTTTGAGGTCCTTCCCATTAATTTAATGGGCTTGCCAACGTTTTTCACTATGAGAATGAGATGATCCCAATGGCTTAGTAATGCTTTCAAGCAGAGGAAAAAGGAGACGCTATCTTTTTGGGCAAAATACCTATTAAGTGGTACTGAAACAACTTCAGTTTCACTTGAGGTAAAATGAAAATAGAAGCTTATGAATATTTTCTATGTTGAAGTCATAGACAGTTGCATTTATATGTTAAAAAAAACTCAAAAGGAGTCTCGGCAGAGGAAAGAAAGACGAACATAACATAACAAATTATTTTTGCAAAGATTCTAAAAATAAAATTAATAGGTCTATTTTATATAATTTTTTATAGAGATACAAAAGCATTTTTAGTGTCATAAAATTATTTAGACATAATAATATATAACATTTCACAAAAAAATATACTCAAATAACTAAAAAGGTAGATACAAAACAAAATAGAAACATTAGAAAAATAAAACAACTGTTACATGCAAATTTGTTTGAACCTAATAACCAAAACATTACAACAACAACAGTTGTATATCTCAAAATTGTCTCACAACAAATTGTAGGCATGTACATTTGAATACATGATCACTTATTAATAAATCCCAATGGCAACTACCACCAATATAAAATGTATCAAATAGCTTACATTTTTCAATTTCCGTTACTATCTCACCCAAGTATATAGTATTGTAAATACAATAATTTCTTAATATAAACACAACCATCAAAATCTAAAATAATTAATTTTAGTATTGATAATTTTTTTACACCCAAAAATACTTTAAATCCATCAACATTATTACACACTCCTCTTGCAAAACATAACATGAAACACATACAATGAAAATATACAATTATATAGTAATATATATCACACGAAAATCATATCCCGCGCGAAGCGCGGACCGGCCCTAGTATTTTATAATTTCATACATATTTTCAGCACAATTCTAATTTTTATTCATATTATCAGCTGCTTAATTAGAACATAAATTTGTGTGTAATAATGAGGGGTATATCAATCAACACTCTTTTTAATAAGGAGTGAGATAATTCAAAAGAAACTGATGATGAAACTAATGGGTTCTAGATAACAAATCAATGATACTTTACCACAATATTTATAAAAGGTATATCTCTAAAACCTATCTTTAGTTTAATTTTTTCTCTACGGTTCTTAAAATTACCAATTATGATTTAAATTTACATTTACAGGTAGCATTAAGAAAAAATAGTTATAGCTCTATATATTACAAGCTTCTTTTAAGCCGTAGGAAGAAATATGGTTGTAGAATGTTTTATCTATTTAGTTTTCAGTTACATAAAAATCATATATACTAAATTCTACAGTAATATTCTTACAATTACACATCAACCAATCATCTACATTATTAAATCGTAATAAAATATTTTTATGGAAAATTTTCATAAAAAGACTCCAACTAAATTTTATTAATTTTTTTAATATCCAAACTTTTTCGCTTTCCAATTTAATACCAACTTATTATTTTTTATTTTAATACACAAAATTTAAAAATTAACTATTTTAATACCCAAACATTTTTAATTTAATTAAAAATTCTAATATTTTTTTTATTTTTTTTTAAATATCTAAAATCTAAGAGAAAAATAATAAAATTTTCTACTTTTATTCTAAAATTTAGGTAAGAAGGTAAATATATTAGGGGAAAATTTAAAATTAATTTTCCAAGAAAAATAAATATATTTGTTTTATTTTATTTCAGAAAACAACGTAAATTCAAAATTAAAACTTAAAAAATATTTGTAACAAATTTTTTTCTTTTTTTCTGAAACACTAGCAAGTTTAATTTTATATTTTTTATTATTATGTTTTATTAATACTGATAGAGAGACAATAATTAAATCTTTACATCTATCTATTAGTACTGAGAAAAACTGTGATATGTACCTAATAGTTTTGTTAGTACTACATATGACAGTTTTCAGTATTAATAGATAGATGTAAACAGTACCGGTCCTGACATGGGAAAGACCAGAAGCAATTTTCTAAAAATTGGCCATTTTTATAAGAACGTTTATATATTATAATAATAATTTTCTTATAAAAGAGACTGATTTTTTCAAATATTTTTTAAGGGCCGGAAGCGGTTGCTTGTAATGCTTCCCCTCAGGACCGGTACTGGATGTAAATATATTAGTTAAACACGAACGATACACTACGACCACATAGTAGAACATGTAGATAATATTAGTGTTTTGAAAACTATTAGTGTATATGATTTGCGTGATAGCATTCCTCAAGTAATTAACATCATGTCACTGGTCATGTTATTACTGCCTTAAACTTCCAAAATACAAATAGTACCATGTACGTAGCATAATACAGTAATTTTACAGTTCTATGTATATTTTGGTTTTTTTCTTTTTTTTTTTGATTAATGATCTCATTAAAAACAGTTTTACAGTTCTATGTATATTTGGTTGTCACTGACAAATATGAGAAGAAATGAAAGGAAATGGAAAACTGAAACTAGGAGACATAGCCGGTCCTAGGAATCTACAATAATTTTGTGGCCAAAATTGATTGATAAATTGAGCGGCCGGAAGCATGTGCTTCCTTTGCTTTTTTCAAGGACCGGCACTACTTTTTTTTTTCCAAGGGCCAGCACTGCTAGAAGAACATAAAAAGAAAAAAAAATTACATAAGAAAGAAGAATTAAAAGTAAATCATATTTCTTTTTCAAACAATGAGTGTTTTCTACAAAATATAGAGTAAATAGGAAAAATGATAGTTTATCTGATAAGGTAAGATTTTAGTTGAATCTAGAGTAAACAAAAATTTGGAATAAACATTTTACTCCAAAAAACAACATACAATCAAAGGCTTTTTGTACATGCGAAGAACTGGAAAATTCATCTGAAGGACGTGCAATACATATGGTATCTTTTTTTTCTTTAACAAAATACATATGGTATCTTTTTTTTTTTTTTTGATGAATACATATGGTATCTTTAAAGATTATGGTATCTTTAAAGATCACAAATGCCTATATTTTTTTGATGAATACTTTTGGCATGTATAATTGTAATGATATTTTTTTTTTGTTACTGTAAACTTTCTAGAATACGAGAATAGCTAAATTTGGTTTAGTATTTATTTTATTAATATTTCTAAAATAAAATAACAGACAAAGTGGTTACATACAAAAAAGTTAATTAAAATGTATAATTATTGTTAAATAATAAAAAATAATATAATTACAAGTATAATAAATTTTCTATTTACTTTAAGATATAAGTTAAAAAATTATAGAAAGATCTATTTTGTGACAATTAACTGTCAGTTTTTTTAACAAACACAGACTAAGATAGTTTTGATAAAAAAACAAAATTTATGTATAAGTTAACAATTTTTTTTCTACATAATTTTTGTCAAATTAATTATAAGTTATTTTAAAAATTCAAGCTAAGATAATTGTGGATGAAGTTCAAAATTTATGTATAGATATCACACAAATAATCAAGTTTTCAAATTTTAAATATTACAACAAAAACAGTAATTGCTTAGTTTCATCTTCACATGCATTCTCATGAAAAACATGAGACCGTTTACTGCATAAGAATATTTTCATTTTATCAAAATTATATTTTTTAAAACATAATCTAAGGTAATTTTGATTAAAATATAAAATTTTAAAGTATAGTTAAAATTTAAAAATATAGTCAGATTTTTAAATAACTTTTTTATTAAATAATTTAATTTTAAAAATTTGATGTTACATATGGCACAGGAAATCACCTAGTTTCATAAACATTACAAGTTTGATTTGATATTAGTGTTGCTGTTATATTTTTCATGGTTGTATATTTTGGTGGTCATGCATTTTGACTTATTACAACAAGGGTCAATTTGCTCTATATTCATAACATGCTAAAGAATAGAAAATATAGCCATATAACAATAACAAGATGAGACACTTTTACCACAAACTTAACCATAATATCCATACAAACATTTGTACAGGTGAGTGATGAT